GCCTGTCCCTGAGCCTGAGCCTGTCCCTGTGCCTGTGTCTGAGCCTGTCCCTGTGCCTGTCCCTGAGCCTGTGCCTGTCCCTGTCCCTGAGCCTGACCCTGTGCCTGTCCCTGTGTCTGAGCCTGTCCCTGTGCATGCCCCGGAGCCTGTGCCTGTCCCTATCCCTGTCCCTGTGCTTGAACCTGTGCCTATCCCTATCCCTGTTCCTAAGCCTGTGCCTATCCCTGTCCCCATCTCTGTGCCATGTGCACGGCCGAGCTGTGCTGTGAGCCAGGGCAGAGGTGTCCCCTGCCCATCCCGGAGCTTCTAAGCTTTGAACACTGCCAGGATTGGGGCATCCATTACCTCCCTGAGCAACCTGTGTCAGTGGCTGACCACCCACACAGGGAAAAACCTTTTCCTAATATCTAACCTAAATTTCCTTTCTTTCAATTTTGAAGCACCAGGCTGCCCTGCCCAAACTCGGGCGAACCGGGAGCCCCTGGGTTGTTGGGGCATTCCCCGTGCCCACCTGAGCTGGCAGATGGGCATCAGTGTCTTGTGCCTCCCACGCTGTAAATACAGCTCTGTGTATTGCTGCTCAGCGTTCCTGCTGTGCCACTTGGGTCTGCAGCCTGCTGGGGTGTTCTCCTCCAGCTTCCCAGTGAGAAATCACTGACCCCACACACCCCGAGGGGTCTCGGGAGGTTATACACTGCAGAGTGATGGGTTATAAACTGTTACAAACTCAGCTATAAACTCAGGGTTTGCTCCAGGAGAACAACTTCATGATTCCAGCAAAAGTCTTGCCTAGAGAGCCAACTTCAGGGCAACTTTTGAGTCCTTCATTCCACCTGGCTTCACTGCATATTGGTGTATTGCAAATATAAATGATTTCCCCCACCTCCACATTGAAATTAGAATATTTAATGCTGTTTGCTTTACATGTGGAGTTTTTAATCTTGCTGGGCAAAAGAAAAAGGTGTTTCTTTTTATTGCTTCCCTGTTTACATTGTTGGCTAATGAGATCCCCAGCCTGAATGGCAGTGTGAACTACCTTTCACAGCTAATAAATGCCAGGGTTCTTAGTAACATCCCGATGTGCCTGTTACCCTTGGAATAGTGAATCTCCTGGCACCAGTGTGGAATTAGTCCCTGCTTACTGGCTAATGGATTCTGCTTCATGTCCTGTGCTACAACTCCTAATTCAGTAGAGTATATTCTCCCATGACTGATGGTTCTTTATAGCTGGGAAACAACCAGTAAAAGTTGAGTTCCATTATTTTTTTTTAAATGTTAATATCCATTATATTTTTATCACTGAGTATGATGGGGCCTTTGTGGCTTCTTGCTTGTGGTGTTTTACTCAACCGGTTTTTCCCCCACATATTCATATGGGACTATATTTCATATTCTGGCTGAAAGGAGTTTAGCTGAGTTCAGTTCAATCAGTCACATCAAGTGCACTCTGCTACAGTAAGATGATGGAATATTTGCCCCAGTGAAGAGATGCTGCTAAGACCAAAACTTGTATGCAGAGGGGACAAAACACACATTGTTTCACTCTCAAAAGGGAGTAGGTGCTGAGCTGAGTTAGCCAGCAGTGTACGACAGAATCAGACTCTTATAACTTCGATTGCATCATCATTATTTTTCTTATTCTTGTGTAATACTCTCTTTTGAAGTGAAATTTCTACTCCTGTTGTTTGCCAGTTTATTAATCCCCTGGAGATTTCAAAAGCTGTCTTTTAGATTTCCTTCCCTGGAAGGCCATGAAGAACCAGCCTGTGACATTTGCAGGTTTACAGTCCAGGCAGTAGTAACCAGCTTTGAAGAGATGAGTAGGTTTTGAAAAGGTCATACACAGATCTTGCATTTAGCACTTTCCTTCTGCAGATCTTCTTGTTTGATTAATCTTTTAATTAAGCCTTTAGCAGCTGCCTCCACAGGTAGTGATATCAGAATTCAGCAGGTGGGTGAAGTGGCACCCAGAGGTGACATGTGGTCAGTGGTAGTGTGGTGAGGACATCTGCACTAAGTATTGGGCCACATGTACTCACCACATAAGGAGGGCTCATACTCTTAGATCTTGCACCATTTGATCCGTGTCCTGTTGCTTGGGAAGACTAATCCAACCAACCACTTGGTTACTGACTCACATACTCTGTGTGTACCACAGTGGGTTTATTTTTAACTCACCCATGTGTGTTCACGTTTTAGATAAATGTGATCTCATCATTTTTATCTAGTTGTTCCTTTAGTAATCTTTAGGAACATAATCTTTAAAATGTAATGTGAAATGATTATTTAATTGGGTGCTTGTAGCAGAGTTTCTGCTGTTGAGATTTCTGACTGGCTAACCAATTTCCTTGAGCAGTATGGTTTTCCACATGATAGATTCACTTATTTTCCTCAAGAAGATACTGTAATTTTAATTGGAAAGCTTTGACATATTTTGAATCGACTCAGAAAACAAAAGTCAATTTTTCTTGCATTAAAGATCTTGTACAGTGGATGCAAATAGAAATATAAATGGAAAATGAGACATGAGCTCTACTGGCTTTTACTTCAGAGATTGGTTTGGTTAGCTTGGGCATTTTGTAAAGACTGAAAAGGTGTGTGGGATTTATATAATACATGTATTACACATTTATATTATCTATGCATTTTAAATATGCTCAATAATGCAGGGATTTATGGGAGGGAAGTGTTTTGTGATGCTTTCCTTTATCCCCAACCAAGCCCATTTTAGCTGGAAACTAAACTATGTTCAAGTGTAGTGTTCCCACTGGCACATTACCTGTTAGCCTGCAGGCTTACCTAAGCATAACAGTGATACTGCTCTAAATGAGGGGCTAAAATTAGTTGAGATAAAATTCCTCTGCAGTTTTTACAGGACTATGTGTAAACTGTATTCATAGACTTACCTCTGTCTGGGAGTTACATTAGTATAAACATATACCTCTGAGAGATACAGTTGGTCAAACCTTTCTGTAGATCCTAACAGAGATCCCAACTTCTAGGGATGTGGGAAAATAAGGATTATTACTGTAAAACTCTGAAGAGTTCTGGTTTTTTCAGCATGTTTCATTAACATTATCCAGACTTAATTGTCACTCAGTTCAAGCACCTGACTTGAGACAAATGGAAATTAAAGTGACGTTTCACAAACCTGAGGTCTGTCGTTCTGTGCTCTCAGCAGTTTTTCATAGGCTGTGACAGATGTCTTCTTCTACTCCCAGCTGTTGAGAGGTTATTGTTCCTATCTGCCTGCTCCCATCCTCTGACAGAGGTTGTCACCAAGGAAGCAATTTATAGAAATGTCCTTGTATTGGGCAAAAAAATAGCAGTCTTAGCCTAAACTAAATTATTGGTCTCAGCTATTCTGGCAGACTGTTCCTGCAGTGAGTCAACAGGTGCTTATATATACTGTTTGACTGGTACTTTGATGGGTCATCAGTGAGACCTGGAGAGCTGCTAGCATCTTCCTTCAGCACAGCTGGATACAGACAGCTTCTTTTCATAGTCTGGTGTCATAGTTTCAGTTACTTTTTCCACTTCCAAAGGCAGATTTGAGCCTTCAGAGCTACAAATGCAATCCAGTTCATTAAGTTAAATCTGATGAAAGAAGAGGATGGTTGAAAGTATAGGTGTTTCAAAAAATGCCCAATCTGGTATGGCCTAGCTCTGAGCTCCAATGCTGTTTGTGTGGGTGGAGTTGATTTCTGATGTCCAGCAATAACTTCAACACCATTACATTCTCTGTGGCTTTTGTTGAAATATTAGAAAAACCTTAGCAAAGTTAGAGAGTTCTAACAACTCGAATCCATCAAAACTAACCAGGAAAGGTCTGTTTCTTTATATCTAAGTACAGATGTGACTGTTGACTTGCAGTAGAGAGCTGTGATCAGCAACTGTTTAATTTTCCATTGCCTGTTTGCCCAAACTTAGACCAAACTCAGAGCAAAATCACAAAAAGCATTTACTTTTTATCAACTGCTAAATACTCTGTAATGAATAATTGCCATCATGTAACTCCTGCATGCCAAAAACTGAAGCTGTGTGTTTATCTGTTTTCCTTTGTAGTTCATGCAAAGGGGTTTGGATTCACAAACTAAAAAACAACTCGAAGAGGAAGAAAGGAAGATAATTAGTGAAGAACACTGGTATCTTGATGTACCAGATCTAAAGGAAAAAGAGTAAGCTTGTAACCTTTTGTACTTCTTATCATAATTGGATTGTTTTGAAATGGAAATAGTATATTCATATTTTCTTCCTGTAAAATAAGTATTATTAATAACCAATTAACAGAGGCAAAAATAGTGACAAACTGGCATTACGACATTTTTCTTTTTCAGGCCTATTCTCAAGGGTGCCTAGTGTAGTTTGACCTACTTTCAGTTCTTGTGTGTGGTGTTTTCTTTCACTCACACATTCTTCTAGATGCATGTAATTAGTTTCTATCAGTCAGGGACCCATTCATTCATTGCTGCTTTTCCCCTTCATTTGAAAAAAGAAGTTTGAAATCTTCTGTAAGTAAATTCAGCTCCAGTCACATGGTTAAGTCCATTCAGGACAGTTCTGTCTTCTTCAGTCCATCTCACTTCAAATCCTGTTTTAGAAATAGGAAAGATGATGGCAAAAAATCAAGGATGGCTTAGCTAATGAGAAAGAAAAATGTCCTACTCTTTAGAAAGTTGCTTTAAATAGCTTTAAAGGTGCTTTAAAATTGCTTGGGTTTCATCCTTTCAAAAGTGGAAAAGAAAGTTCCACTGAAGGAGAACATAGATCATTTTGAAAAAGCTGAGACCCAAGGAATTAGCTGTACTTGAATGAGGTCATTGATAAACTCTTCTCCATTACTGTTGATGGCTGTGACAGAAAGGTATTTGAGCTTCCGTTGCAGCAAGGAAGGTTCAAGCTGGACATGGGGAGAATTTTTGTAACAATAAGGCTATTGAAGCTCTGGAATAGATTGCCCGAGGAGACACTAGATTCTTCATCATTGGAAGTCTTTTGAGGACAGGTTAGATGGACCTCTGCGGTTCATGGTTCATGTTTAACTGATAGTGCCTTGAGGTAGGAGAATGAGCTTAATCTCTTCAGCCTAACTTCCTGTGATCATGAGGGTTAGTTTTACATGGGAGATGAAGAGGATGAGGGAAGAGGTACATATATGTGTGAGGAAAAGAAGGATGGAACAATGTGTGGAAGTGCTTTTATCTAACACATGTATTATGAACACCTCAGGGTCATGTTTCTTTTCTCACTCCATGCTCATTAAAAAGAGGAAAAAAAGGAGGGAGAAGGGGGAAATCTGTCTCTGCTGAACAGAGAATGACACAGTGTTTTATATCCTGACAGACTCAACTAATGCCAGGTCTTAACAGCACAATGAAAAATTAATTAGAAGCTTTTGCTGGTATAGTAATGCCACCTGGAGAGTGATATTTATGTGGTATTTTTATTCTGGCAAAAGTATTAATGTAGGTGGAATCATACCAGCAAAGAGTGCTTTTTGTCAGGAGAGTTAATTTTGCTTGTGGAACTGGCACAGCTTTACTGGCAAAAAGTATTCCTTTGCACTCCAAGCTCCTTGTACTGAAAGATTTATCAGACCAATTAAGCTTCAGAAAGTAGTTGATGGTTTAAAATACACTGTGGTTTTGTTTATTCGTGTGTGGGGAAGACAGCAAATCCTTTTTGCATTTGTTTAATTTGATTCTTTCAAAGTGCACCATTTGACAAAATGCTGGGTTTGGGGTTTCATGCAGGAGCTGTATCGTAGAAGAGAGAAGCTTTATGCGATGTGAGGATCTCGTTTTTGGCAGAATGTCCTTCAAAGGATTCAATCCAGAAATTGAGGTACGGTTTAAATGCCCCAGTTTGTGGTGGTCTCACATTAGGTTTGAAGCCCTTGGGGTGGGGATTTGAGTGGTCACACTGCATCCTGTTCAACCTTTGCAGCACCTTCCATAAATCCTCCCACATACAGGAAATCCATGATTCAACCCAAAATGTTGATCAGTGCAGCATCTGGTAAATAGAAGCTTTTTTTTCTCTTTGTGTTGGTGGTCAATAATTGCATGACTCCTGCAGATTTTCCCTCCCTGAAGTAAGGAAGCTGTCCCACATGCTGCTCACCAAAACAAAAGCACACTTTTCCTCCTGACATTTAGTGCAGAGTCCAATTCAACACTATTTGTTCAACACCTACTTGTGTTAAGTGAGGGCTTCAAGTTCAAAAGTAAAAATGCTGGGCAAGAGAGTCTTTAATTTCTTTCCTGCGTGATTCATGCTGATAGAATTACATGGGGACAGTAATAAAAATGCTACCACAGAACTGAAGCAAGAGGATGAAGGTGCAAAGACTAAGAGGTATGCAGTGGGCTCTGCAAGATGATTTACTGGGAGATTCTTTTAGTTATTTTGAACCTGCTCTCCCTGTGACTCAGCATATGATTGCTTCCTGGCTTTTGCTGTAAATCCTTGCAGATACTTTTCCTTCTTAACAAAACCACTTCAAGGACTATGTGCTAACATCACAATGAAAAATTAATTATCATCTAATTCTCTGTTCTCCTGAAGATGTTTGGAGTGCCCTTTAGGATGTCTGAGTAGTACAATACACTGAAAACACTGTCTCTGTGTTGCCTCTTTTCGCAAAGGCAAACTCTAAGCTCAGCTTAGCAACAGGCAGGTGTGTTGCCTTTTCTTCATGAGTTTTCATAACCTGACCAGGAACAGAAAACAGTTATTAAATTTGAGTCTTCCCTTTTATACACTACCAGTGAATTTCAGCATGGCTGCCTTTGTGTCATGGTTACATGTTTAAGCTATTTCTTACTTCATTTTCAGAAGTTAATGATCCAAATGAACTCTAGGTGCAAGGAAGAAATTGAAGTGGATGATGGAATGGAGGCTGATGTGTCAGATGAAGAAATGGCCAGAAGGTAAGTTATATTTTATGACATAATCAATACTAG